TCATGTAATTTTTATTTAGCTACAGCATTTCCAAAAGTCTAATCTAGTGGAGACCAAGTTTGGTAGGCATGCCACAAGGTAAGCTCTGTGCCCTCCTTGAGTGCCACTCCACTTGCCTTCCCCCTCCCCAATCTGCTGTGTACCACACATCGAGGCTGCAGTGCCATGGTTTGGCTGACCTGGTCTAGTCACTCAATGTCCCAAGTGCTGACAACCCCCTGTAAAAGAAGCCCATCTCACATGAACATACTACACCTTTCCCAGTTCCAACTGCTTCCCTGGAGAAAATTTTTGGGTAAAACTGAATAGATATATTGGGATGATTTATTTTTGAAAAAAGCTATCACTCCAACTTGGTAACAGATTGTAAACAGCGAACACTATGGGAATAATTCTACAAACGGGGAACAGAAAAAATCTGAAAGCAGAGATACAGTGTCCTGCATATCTACACAACATATTTATCAACTGGTATTGATAATTGTTCAGTTTATCTTTCACTGTAATTTTACACTGATGAACTTGACACAATGTTTTAAATAGGGATTTGCCACAAACATATCAGTCTTGCATATCTTTTTGACAACATTCAATATACAAGCATTTGTTTGCATTGAGGGTGTGGAAGGAATGGGACTAAGAAATTATGATTATGTGTAAATCTATCTTTTTTCTTTAGGCGTCTTTGCCACATGTGGTTTAGATGTGAGCCTTCCTGCTGTATGCTTTTGACTTTCTCTCTTCAATCAAAAATGGGGGGACAACAACAAAGCTAAATTTTAAATATTGAGGAATGGAACTTGCAGGATAACAACCATACTGTGGTTCATACAAATTAACTAGGAACACATTTCTAATCAAACATTATATATGTGTGTATGTATTTTGAACAGGTAATATTTAAACAAATGATAGACTCTTTAACACCACATAATTTAAGGGCCTCTTAAGCTACTGTCTTATTAAACAGAATCTCTGCTTGCATGTGGTTAACAGACTCTCTTAATGCACAGTCTGTAGGCATAACCTTCCATCGCAGTTTGTGAAGTCAGCAAACAGCTTTTGACCTGGTTTCCTTTCTTTGTTGGAGGTAAATGTTACAGTAACATGATACAGCATCAACATTTTTTTAAAACAGAAACCAAGGTCAGGTGGCTGTCACCCCAGGTCAGACAAAAGTGACCCAAGTGATGCTTGACCACCAAGGAACAAAACTGAAGGGTTAAACATTTAAGTTACATAAACCATGGCAGGAGGGATTTTACTGCTTTTTCACTGCTTTCACAAGGAAAGTCAAATATTTTTGGTAAGATACTTAACTTCTTACATGCTTCAGTCAGAACATGTTACTTATGTTTTTTCTATAGAAACTGGCTCTTTAGTAGTATCACCCACCGAAATTGGCAGTTTGTCTTCAATTCGTCTTAGTTCTTTGTCTGCTGTCTGAACTCTTAACCTGTGTAGTCATTCACAGAACAAAACAATCCACCCAAATCTCTATCTTGTAGCTGCTACAGAAGGAACACTTTGCAACAAAGATGCCAAGAAATGAAGGCCACCAAGAGAGACAGGAAGAAACACACCTGATCTATGTTTTCTAGCTTCTGTAACAAGTAATTTAGGTTACTTTGATTATGATGAATTTGCCACATCCATACAAACAGCATGAAAACCAGTTTCATGATAAGTGAACCAAATGTTCACATGCACAGCTAGAATCTGCAGCCTGACCTTTTCAGGTAACACACACAAAATATATCTAATGGTCTTGCATGATAAAGCCATGTTTTTAATGTCTCTACTGAAAAACCTTTGAGGACTGGTTTGTTCTCCCTGCTTTTGATTTATCAGATGCAAACAAAAGCATGTGCTCATGCCACAGCCCTTCCCACTCTTGCTGTGCTGTGCATGAGGCATACGGGGCAGTTCCATCTGACTGCGGCAACATCTCAGTTGAGAAGCACTGAGGCAGCACAACACTGGTTCTCAACCAAGGCAATGCCAAATTTAAAAAAAGTTATGAAGGGGTTCCCTGAATCCAAAAGGGCTGAGAGCCCCTGCTTTAGAAGGCAGAAAACAGACTCAATTCTAAGTCCAGCTAGAACCACTCTTCTCAAGAACCATCTAGCTGTTCAAGTGCACACATTCCAAGTGAACTAACAATACCAGTACTTGTGCATGCAGGAAGGAATTACTCGAGATGCCTAACATGCTTGTGAAACATTCCAGCCTGGTGAGGACTACTGACAATGTTCAGAATATAAGGCAATGAAAATCATAGGATCATAGAAAGCGAGGGTTGGAAGGGATCTCAGGAGGTCATCTAGTTTAACCCCCAGCTCAAAGCAGAACCATTCCCAACTAGATCATCCCACCCAAGGATTTGTCTAGCTGGGTTTTGAAAGTCCTCAAGCATGGAGCTTCCCACCACTTCTCTGGGTAACCTATTCCAGCATTTTACTACACTCCTAGTGAGAAAATCCTTCCTAATATCTAACCTAAACTTCCCTTGCTGCAACTTGAGACCTTGTTCTGTCATCTGCTACCACTGAGAACAAATCTAGCTCCATCCTCTTTGGAACCCCCTCCTCCCCTCTTCAGGTAGTTGAAGACTGCTATTAAATTCTCCCTCAGTCTTTTCTTCTCTAGACTAAATAAACTGAGTTACCTCAGTCTTTCCTCATAAGTCATGTCCTTACCATTTTGATGCCCTCTGCTGTACTCCCTCCAATTTGCCCACATCCTTTCTGTAGTGGGGGGCCCAAAACTGAACACAATACTCCAGATGTGGCCTAACAAGTGCTGAATAGAGGGAAACAATCACTTCCATTGACCTACTGGCAACACACCTACCAATGCAGCCCAGTATGCCATTAGCCTTCCTGGGAACAAGGGCACTCTGTTGAATCATATTCATCTTATTGTCCACTGTACCCCCCCAAGTCCTTTTCTGCAGAGCTGCTGCCCAGCCAGTCAGCCCCCAGCCTGTACTTGTGCATGCAATTATTCTGTCCTAAGTGCAGGACTTTGCACTTGTCCTTGTTGAACCTCATAAGATTTCTTTTGGCTCAATCCTCCAATTTGTTTAAGTCACTCATGTGCAGTAAAGCACTTTCCGGCCCCAGCAACTGACTGATTTACACAGTGAAACATGATGATTGATATCTCTCGCTATTTCACTCTTCCTAATATAAGTGCAAATGATATCCTTAGTTAAGTGTGAGCTATTGAACAGGTTACCTAAAATGTTGTCTGTGGACAGCAATTTTTCTCCATGGAGGCCTGGCTGACTATATTGGGTTATTTCCTCTTCTGTATTTTCAAAAGCTAACATTGAGTTTTGGTAGCCAAAAGGTGTCATGAGATCGTGAATGGCAAAGTTGGTTTACTTGATCATGAATGAGAGCACAGGTAGTTAATTAAGATCTTTAGTTTATGCTATGATTAAAAAGTCTCTGGATGCTCCAGAGGTAGGGTTTAGAACAGGAGACAGCTGAGATTCCTCCTGTGTTATTACTGAGAAGAAAAATGAAAATTTTTGGTTTCCATCCATCTTGTACATTTCTGAAAATATCCTGACAGGACAATATACATAATAATGTACTGTCCCAGAGCCCCAAATTCTAACAAGTCCAAAGCCTCTTAATGAGCTGGTAACAGTGCGCGTCTATACAAGACGCTAACTGCACAATAGCCTAATAACACTGCACATTAGCATGCTGGGCAAAAACCTTGCTAATATGTTACTGTCTGTGTGCCTTCAGTACTATGCAGTAGTCCAGGCAGTCTTCGACTTACAACGTTTTCAGTTACAACTTTTCATGCTTACAACGTTTATAAATTGACACCCTGTTTCAACTTTATAAAATCAGTTTTGACTTTACAACACTTGATCCGATGTGATGCCACGCCAGCGAACAAGTTCGCTCTGCTGCTCATCTCCCTGGAGAACATCTGTCCAAACTTCCTTGGACACTTTCTTTAAGAAAGCAGACAAAACTTCAGAAAAACCTGCAGCCAAGACTCCAGTGAAGACTCCATCCAAGAACCCTTCAAAAAGTCCAACTAAGAGCCTTTCAAAAAGTCCAGCAAAGTCACCTCAAAGAAGTCCTTCCAAATCAATAGGATTGTTATTTACAATATAAATACATTAATATTACTCATCTATAATTGATCGAGTACAAAATTCTGGGGTATTTTGGTGAAAATAGGGTATCAGGCCTTGGTTCAGGAACCAATCCCCCATTCTAACATTGTTTCTTATAAGAAAATTGGTTCCAACTTACAATATTTCGACTTAAGATGTGGTTTTCAAGAACCAATTGTGTTGTAAGTCCGAGGACTGCCTGTACTAAACTATCCAAGTACTAAACTTAATGCGCCATAACTACAGTGCATTAAAGAAGGTGCAGATGTGGCCACTATGACTGGGCTTGGCCCTGGGATCAAGGACAGTAAAGAGAGGCTTCATAATAGTATAACCATCTACTAAAAATAAGAAGCAATATGCTATTAAAAGTACAGTTTGGCAGGTTGTTTGGAAACCAGGCCTTTTCTAGTTAAGCCTAGTGCATATATTTACACAAAAGCTACTAAAGGGCTCTACTATTATTAATGCACTCAGATAACCAGACCCCAGGAAAAACATGTTCTGGAAGAATATGAACAAACAACTCTGGATTCCATTCCCATCAGTGTCCACACAGTTCAGGGCATTGTAAGAAGCTGAACACCTTCTCCCTCCCCTCTGCCCGCCGTAGAACCGAGACTCATGTCACTTACCCAGAGAGAACAGCCTGTTTCTAGTTTAAGAACCAAGGAAGTGTTACTACAAAACAACAATATCAGTACAATGTGAGTCCAGCAAAAACGCATTCATATGGACAGCTTTTTATAGACTCCTTACATTTGAATTCTACTTTGCTTCAGTGTCTCAAAAAACAAATCTGTGAGAAGCAACACAAATAGCCAGTATTGACAAAAGTCTGAATTTTACTTACATGTGCTGTGAAGCATTTGGATAGAGCTCTGAGAATTGTGGTGCAGAATCTTCAGGGCCATGGGGGGCGGCATGGCTGATAACCATCATTATGGGCCTATGAGGATATATTCTCTTAGACATTTTGAAATAATTAATGCTCTCGTTAGTGATTAAGTCTGTGAAGTAGTCCTGTAACATACATTTAAGACAAAACAAAAGTTATATAGTGCATAATTGACCAGATCACATTCTATTTACATTTTAACTGACTGGCTTTCTTGCATATGTACTGGCCTCTAGCTGCTTTACTACTCCATCCAGGAAGAACACAGACCATCTGCAGATGTTTCCTCAGCCTGATGAAGGCTATTTGTACCAGAGAGCTCACAAAGAAGAATTTTTCCAACTAATGAATTGGTCTAATAACAGATATCAGATTTACCCAAAGAACCTTATCTGTCTATTAAGTCATGGTATTCCAAGTTATCACTAGAGCTTAGATCAGGAAGTAAAAACATACCTTTGAAGAGACATGTGAGCCTGAAAAACATAGGGGAAACCAAGCTCTAATGACTTTTTTAAAGTATGCACAATATGAGATGGGAGTGTATTTTGCAAAATTCTCTTATCCAGAAAATAATGGGTTCTATTAACTATGACCACCAAAGTTGACAACAGGACATTTTGTAACATACAAGCAGCAGATAACATACACATATCGATTTCTCAAATGTGGTTGATGAAACTCTTGAAAAAACATGACTCCAAACTATAGAAAACTATGCACATTTAATATGGACTCATATTTACTCCTGAAGACTTTGTGTGCGTTTGTTAAAATATAAATTTGCATCTGTGAGACCTGGGAGCAATCTACAACACTTAACACATTGCAAAAATACAGTTGTCTAGGAAAAACTTTAATCAAAGAAATTGCAAACATATATATAAGGAGGAGCTGAATTCCTGTAGGCTCAGGTTCTTTTAATTGTACAACTTAAAGGAGTGCAGCTGGTGAGGCTAAGGTGATGAGCTGCTAATAAACTGGCTTAACCCACAGCCAAGGTGGCAAGTAGAAGCCTACAGGGAAAAGGAGGAAATGGAATGAAGAAAAAAAGATGAACACTTATATTAAACCACCTGCCACCATTAAGCATTCATCATTGGCCTGGAGGTTTAGTGTGAGCTTCACTGAGAAAGTGCTGAGACAATGTTTGTAATTTCAAACACTTCCAGGCATGACTAATCACATGTTGTGGATTCAAGGCCCTGAACAGCTGCAAAATCAGTGCCTGAGGGACAGGGCCTGTGACGCATGTCAGTGTTAGGACAAGCCAACCAGCTGGGACCTTCTCACTCAGAACCATCCCCCCCCCCCATATAGTAGCCTTAAATTAAATGTTCATGCTCCTGTAACAATATGATGGAGGCAGTATTACTCGTTTACAAAAACAGTGAAAATTTGGTTTCCCTTCAGAGTACCAGAGTTCATACCAATTTTTGGTATGAAATAGACCCAGATTAGAACACTGTCTGGATAGGTGCCTTTCCAAAGCATTCATTTCCCTCTTGTTTCCCCATACATTGTTCACTCTTGCTATGGACATAGGGTGCATAAGGAATTCTCGACTAACCAATAAGTCTTTATTTTCTACTTTATGTTCTCTGCAATCAGTAACATGCAATTTCTGTGGGTGGGTAAATCAGAAACTGCTATTGTGAGCTTCCAATAAAATCTCATTACATGGGTCAGAAACCACAGCTGCAACATCTGTATTATCTTCGGTGAGCTACACACTGAGGAAATTCCAATTCGTTTTATGTAGGCTGGAAACTTTAGGATTTGTAGTACTAAACATTTATAAGAAATCTCACTGTAGTGGGCAGGTCACCTTGGCATATCCTCCAGATTTTGTCATGAGTGCAAACAAAGTCTGAAGTTTTCCAAACCCTTCTTTTTTTTTTTTTTTAACTTATCATATCCGGAGTCTGACACCACAGCCACACAGTTTTTTACACTGTATAATGGAAAACAGCACCAGTTAAGCTTTCCTTCTGAGAGTAAAAACTATTGTCTTAGCAGCTACTCTGTAGTCTTAACTTTGAGTTCAGTAGAATAAGGCCAAAATTTTCTTCAGAAAGGTCTGTTATTTATTTATTTATGTATGTATGTATGTATGTATTTATATAGAGCCACTCATTTCTATCTGAGGATTAGAAATCAACCAACTAAATTATAGAGCTGTTTTAAGTTTTTGGCCATTCCACAATAGGACAAAAGACTCTACTTAAATGCACCATAAGAAAACAACATATTGGGTGCTATTATTAATTAATAAAGAGAAAACTATTTTTAAATAGATGGAGTCATTTGATACTGTGTAATGTGTCTGGAAAATACCTTTGTGTAATCAAATCCATGCTTCTCTTTGTTGCCATTCCGACAAATGGTGTAATTATAGAAGCGAGAGTTCTTGACTAATCCAACCCACTCTCTCCACCCAGGAGGAATGTAGCTGCCATTGTATTCATTGAGGTATTTCCCAAAAAAAGCTGTGAATGGAAAGAAGGAACAGACATCAGGCTTTACAAAATTAATTTTCTAGTTGAAATGCATAATGCAAATGCATAAATATGTGAATAAAGTGTTTTTATTATAGATAACAATATATGGATTAGTGTAAGTCAAAATGCTGCTTTCACCTAAAAATCTGCTTTCTAAAATCAGTCTGAGGGGGTTTTAACAAATGCATAATTTTAACATCGGCAGACAAGGTTCCTTGGGTGAATTTGATATCTTTTATTAGACCAACTTTTTAATTTTAACATCTGCTTTTTATTGTTCATATTATTGTTCATTCATTTGTATTTGTTTTTATTATTATAAAAGTGGTGTTTAGCAGATCTGGTTAATATCAGTATTACCAGTTATCTTTATTTTGGGGTTTCTTCTAACACAGCAACTTCTGGAGTCATGTGATTATAGCTATGAACAGACATTCTGAGAGAGAAAGCAGCACCAATGTTCAATCTGAAGTTGCTCTTTCTGCCCAGTCTCTGTACCTTCCCAAGGCGGGGGTGATTCAGGTGTGGGGAAGGCGAGAGAAGCAGTGTGCCTGCTTCACTCCTTCTGATCCCCAGGGGGAGTGTGGTAGCAAGGACTGACTCCCCATGCCTTCCCTTGACCAGGGTCTAGGGAACAGGCAGGGAGCAACCTCCTCCACTCCACTCCCAGTCTCTGGGAACAGAGAGAAGTGAGCGTTGGCACAAAGTGCCCAGCTTGGGGAAGATGCAGGGAGCAGTGGATATGTTGCTCCTGCCACTTGGCTCCCAGTGCCCAACAGCTGAGTAGCGGGGGCCATGCAACAAAGCTTCTTATACTGAGAACTCCAGTGTGAGAAGCAGGTGGGGAGCAGCTGGTGGCAAGTCCTTCCCTCCCGTCCTGGTCTACAGGAAGGGCAGGAACAGCAGCCCCCTGCACCTTCTCCAGAGCGGTGACCCCAGTCTTTTCCCAAGCTTCACTCCTTCTGGTCCTCAGGATAAGTTAAGCCAGGGGAAAGCATGCAGACATTCAGTCTCCCAGGAGAAACTCTCTTGGGAGAGATTTAACTCTGGTTGTTCCTGGGTTATTTTTCTCCCAGAACAGCCATTTTTGCTCCAGGAGGAAAAAAAATTGAACGTTTGCTGCCATCAGGAAACACTGTGAATTCCTTGGCAGCGTTTCTAGTTCCATTCCATATACCCCACACTCTGTTTCTTACTAATAATTGGAAGCAGCATGACAGCTCCTTAATTTAGATCAAAACAAAAAGCACATGTGGGCAGAGATGTTAAAAATTCACATTCTATAAGAATGGGCTTGGAAAGTCTCTACTGGGAAAAGTGTTGGAATGTCTTCAGTTTAACTTTAGTAAAAGTAACATTAATGTGGTATGATCAGGCTACGTATCTGCCAAGTGTCATTCAGCTGGCATGATGGTCACACATTTGCTCCTGATGCCACTCTCATGCCAACCAGAACACCACTCATAAGCAGGGATCCTGGTTTTCCCTAATCAAAAATAATTGCAAATTCTCTGATAAAAACAAAAAAACCCCATGATTAAAATTAAAGGCCCCCTGGGTATCAGGGTGTGGGGCTAGCTCCCTGCTGCTGCACACACTCCTAGGGGTCAGGGGGGACCCATGCCCCCCAGATCTGTGCATGGTACGGGGGCTGCACACTGCCTGCTGCGGGCTCAGATCCCTGTCCTGCTGCCCTCCCCCAGGTCCTCTGCAGCCCAGCAGGTGCAATCCAGTGCTGCAGAGCATAGTGGGGCCATGTAGGAAAGCTGCTTGCTATTGTGAGCTCTGAGCTGCCCTGGTGATGCATCCTCTGCCCATGTCACAGCAGTGGAGGTGGCAGGGGAGGCCCCTTGAAATTTATCATATTTTACAAGCTATAAGCTTTGTAAAACTTCGTTATATATATGATCACTGGAGACTTGCTAGAGTTTTGTAGCTTAATTTCTCCAAGAATCAATTAAGATTAAGTATGTTCCAGCCAAGGCTTCAGCAGAATCTGCCCTTAAACTTGCAGTTATCTGTTGTTTCAGGTCATACGTGGTTTCAGTACTGGCAGCTACCTGACCTGAATACAGAGGGGACAAGAATGAGGGCAGGGAAGTAGGCTGGACTTAGGAAGGAAGAGGAATAGAGGCACATCAGTGTGGATCTACATCTGCAGCAGTGCCAGCTCCAGCCATGCCAACTGTGACAGGGCAATCAGTTGCAAGTGCAGCAATAGCTGCTTTTGTGCTCCCACACACAGGCAGCACCTGGGGCTGCTGCCCGAGTCATCCCCCATCAGTTAAGTTACTGAAAAGGAGGCTTGAGGCTGGCAGGGACATACTGTACAATTTAAGGATAAATTAAGCCTACATAGGCAAACTTAATTCTGGCATTTCCATGTGTAAGTGCTTAATTTTGCAACCTTAATCATACTTTTTTAATATAAGATTTTGTATAATGTTAGGCATAAGGGATGAGGGGATCAGAACATCAGCAGCCTTGATAACAGATTGAGCTTGTCAATTTACGGCCGTATACAGACATTTAATTTCTCCTGGGAGATTTGCTGCTCTCACAAGAGAAACCATGAGTGTGTTCAGCCTCTTAGAGTAAAAATGGCTGCTCCAGAAGAAAAATAACCTGGGAACAACCAGTGTTAAATTACTCCCAGGAGAGTTTCTCATGGGAGAGTGAATATTTACACAAGCTGTGGCTTCTCTTAGAAGATAACATTATCCTCATCATTCCTCCTCCCCCCCAATTAGGGAGACTCACTGCTGCTCCATGAAGGAGCAGAACCCAACCCCACCCACCCCCACACACGTCCCTTCACAATTCCCACATTGTACTGCAGCATAACACAGGATGACCATGGGAAGTCTGCACCAGCCAATCAAGGCTGACCTATGGACTGCTGCCATCTGTCACCAAGCAGACTAAGGAAGTCTGTAGAGTGTGCTGAGATGTGCATAGCTTCCCCCGCCCCACACCCCTAGCTGCAGCACTACAAGCTCTCCACTTTTCAGGGCCTCAGCATTAGAATGTCAGTACCAGAAGAACAAACCTGGGAGAATTCTCCCAGATTATTTAAATGTATGTATGTAGCCTACATTAACCAAGGGTGATTTACTGGTCAAAAGCTCAGGAGGACAAGAATAATTAGATATATTTGTCTTTTTACTGAAACCAAGAGCTCAGCTGTTTCTCCACTGACATTCCTGAACACTACTGAATGTAAGAGAGGACAAGACAATGCTCAAGCACAATAGTAGCAGCCAGGACCTGCTTCTCTGCCCATGAACAAAGTTACAGACTGAGGTTACAGACCTTACAGTGCCCATTTGTGGGGCAAAACTCTGGTCACTGAGTGGACACTGAGAGTGTTTTGTGTATGTTTTCAAAACCAAAGGATTGTAAATAACTAAAATAATATGGTGTGTGCTACAGGTCTGCCCAGGAACTGGCATGGGAATGTGTGAACCTTATCCCTGGCTTTTCATATATTTGGCTTAGAGAATTAACTCACATCCTTGACTTGGCTGTAGCTTTAAGCTTTCTGAGTTGCCCAAGTCTGAGTACTGACTAGACTAGAGCCGCAGGCGAGGCACGTATTTAGAATCAACTGAGCACAGCAATGGGTTTAGGAAGTCATTTCTGTTTGCAATTAATAAAATAGAGATTACACCTCAATGGGTAAAAAGGCTCATTAAAAAGTAATACCATTTCAGTAGACATCTTTTCTTTATTGTCAGTAATAGCCCCCACAGGGATATCAGCAAAGATAAATACAGATTTTTGCATTTTAATAAGACAGGTTTTATCTGCATTCTGGCAGTTTTGCTAACTGTTCCCAGGACACACTGTTATTTTTTAATCACATGTACAGTAGCTTAGTACATCAGAATAACTGCAGCCTTTGTGACTATGTTCAATTAAGTTTATGCAAACAACAACACATGGCATAGTGAGCACTTATGCTGGATATTTATGCGCCATGGGAGTGTTTTTGTCACTAAAACATATAAGTATCTAGAGAAATGCAGGTATCTGGTAAAATGCATTTCTTAAAGCTTGCTTTTTTTTTGTTATCTCTCCCCCTAACAATTAGCTAATGATCCCCAACCTAGATGGGAGAACAAAATAGCGAGATTAAGAGGTTGCAAGCATGGAATAATTTGATCCAACATATTTGTGGATTCTACGGGGAAGATTTTCATTTAATAGGATTTAACTTCTCGAAGTACTCAACACATATTTTCATTCTCTTAATATCAAATGTTTTCACTGAATTTCTAAAGCATTACACAAGAGAATTACCCATTACTTCTAACTGCATCAATAGATGCCACATACCTGAACTGTATGTCTAATGGAAAAACACCATATTCTTCCCACAGACCAAAGAATATATGCTACATAGTATGCTCTCATTACTCATTCAAGTTTGTGGGAACATTTCTGATTTTAAGCAAAACAAAATCTCTAAAAAGACATGATACAGTAAGGTTTTACTCATCATGACCCAGACAACAGCTTCAAGTAGACAGCTCACTTCCTTTAACAAGATGAACTATGAGGAAACCACTTACTGGAGTTGCAAAGAACTGTTTATATGACATTTCAGTGCTGACACAATGATTTAACATTTTTGGGGACAGAGCCCAACAAAACCAAAAGTCCGGTAGTATTCCAGTAAATGTCTCCCTGCTTTCTTCCTATTTTCTCAAAAATATTTACAAAACTGAAAAGTTTTCTTGGTTTCCCCAAGTTGTATGCTACTTGGCAACATTAAAGCACTTCTTTCAAATTACAAATATCAATCAGTTAAGGTTCCTATTATATCAATTTTACCATTTGGAAACTGAGGCCCACAATAGTTAACCTTCATCTTCCCCAAAGTCATACAGCAAGGTTAAGGCACTGCCAGAAACAGTGCTCAGATTTCTTAGTTCCCAGCCTTGTAACTTAACCACAAGACTATTTTCTTATGAAGAGTTCAGGTT